CAATCAAACTGTTTTCAACTTTGTATAGTCTATTGCCATACACAATTGCACCTTGTTTGTATCTTCTCGTTCTTAACAGCTGCTCTGCAGCTATAAGAGGAGGGGATAGAAGCGAGGTGTCTCTTTATTTCTCAGTGCCTTACAATGGCTCTTTTTAGAAATTTAACATAGCACCTTACATACTAGCTTATAAACTAAGTATAAAGGAAGAAATTTGCCGAAAATAATATTTTAGTAAATGTAGGATTTAAAAGGTAGTAACAGGATTTATATTAGCAAATATTGAACAAAGTTAATGATTTGAATTAGCGTGAAAAAGCAGGACAAAGTCTTTGCATTTTCTGAGTTGCATGGTATCACATGCTTAATATAAAACTAAGGGATATGGTAGTAAATGTCCATTGTTGATTCTTTCAGTAACATAGAAAATTATTTAGTTTAAAAAATAATTGAACAATCAAGTTTTATGATTTAATTGCAAAAAACAAGGGAGTATCTTAGCGTTTTCATAGGAGTAGAATAAATGATAAGAGTTACTATTATTAATATATTAATTAGATACACTGATATCAATTACTGAGAGGTTACTAGATAAGATAATAAATTTGTTATTAGCAAATATTTACAGGTTAAGAATTTGTAATATTGATCAAAATGAGTAAATTGAATTTTCGTGAAGAATCAGGGCAAAGTCTTTGCATTTTCTGAGCTGAATAGTGTCTTATGTTTAATGTAATTACTAGTGTAAAGGTAGCAAATAGTCGTAGCTTAGAATTTAAGATATGTAGAAAAAATTGTTTAGTTTTACTTATAGTTATAATCAAGTTTTATGATTTTAATTGCGAAAAGCAAGTAAGTATCTTAGCTCTTCAGAGTAGTACGATATCTGAAGTGAATTAATATTAAAGATATAACTAGAAAAAACAGATATTTAATAGCCGTAGCTTAGACTTTAACATATGTAGAAAAAATTGTTTAGTTTTACTTATAGTTGTAATCAAGTTTTATGATTTTAATTGCGAAAAGCAAGTAAGTATCTTAGCTCTTCAGAGTAGTACGATATCTGAAGTGAATTAATATTAAAGATATAACTAGAAAAAACTGATATTAATTGATGAGAGGTAATTAGGTAAGATAAGAAATTAGTAATTAGCGAATATTTTATGTTTAGTTTGATATCTTATAAGTATATTCTATTTTAAAATATTAATAATTTTGCGTTCGTCTTTTCCAGGTGTCTGCAGCTGTCATCAGGATCATCCACCAGGGTCATCCACCAAGGTCATCCACAGGTCATCCACAGGGTCATCCATCAGTGGTCATCCAACAGGGCTCAGCATGTTGTCATATATCGAGGTTTAATTGCTTGTTATTTTTTTTTTTTTTTTTTTTTTTTTTTTTTTTTTTTTTTTATTTAAATTTTTTTTTTGATTTGAATAAAGCTTATTGCATTTGGTTTTAAGTTAATTTTTGTAGCTTTGTGTTTTATTTAAGTCCGTGAGGGTATTATTATTTGTAAGTGAGATTTTATGTTTTGGTTATACGAAGAGCAGGATAGGTTGAAATGGCGTAACTTTTGGTTTCACTTTGTTCAATAATGAGTTTGCAGGTCTTCAGTATATTGAGGTTTAATTGCTAGTTGCTTATTTAAATGTTTTCTATTTTAGTTTGGATAAAGTTTATTGCATTTTGGCTTTCTGTTAAATTTATAGTTTGTGTGTTATTTATGTCGGTGCAGGTATTCTTAGTTGCAAATGCAAATTTATATTTTGATTAAGCGAAGAGTAAGGTAGGTTGAAATGGCGTCACTTTTGGTTTTGCTTTGTTCGACTATATGTTTGCAGGTCCACCGTATTTTGAGATTTAATTGCTTGTTGTTTATTTAAAAGTTTTCTATTTTATTTGAATAAAGATAGTTGCATTTTTTTTATCTAGGTTGGGGAAAAAAAAAATAATAATCCCCCTCCCTTCCTCTCTCATTCATGATCAGCTGACCTGCAGCTGCATGACGAGGGGAAGAGGGTACGGAGATACTTTTTATTCAAACAATACTTTACAATAGCATTTCTTAAGAATATGAGTAGCGCCTATAAGATACTTAAAAATATACAAAAGGTCAATATTTACCGAAACTTTTCATTAAATGAATCAATTTAAATGGCCATAAGAGCACAAAAATAACAGTGCAGCTTAATGTTACAAAATACTTATAAAAGAGCAATTTAAAGATAATACAAATTAACAATAAAGTGCTTGAGTAACTAATAAACGACTAAATAGATAAGTAAGATATAAGTTTAACAATAGTAATTAATGGCATTAATTAATATAATTCAATTTTTTTTTTTTTTTTTTTTTCCATTAAAAAGCATCTACAAGATGCACAGAGAAAATAGCCCAAAGCGGCCGATTGGAATAATAGAGAAAATTCGAGACAAAGTCTGGTCATTTTCTCCAACATGGGATTAAGCTAAAATTAACTTAAATTACAAAATGTTTATGATAATTAATATAGATAATTAAATAAAAATAGTTTAACAATTCATTTTGGCAGTTTTGATTTCATTAATATTCATTCGATATATCGCAAGAGTAACTGAGTAAGTGACGATGCACCCCTGGCATTGTGCCTATCGGAGTGCATAATCAAAACAAAAACAAAAAACAGCTGATTGGGAATTGCATTACATGCAAATTTTATGCTGCTGATTGGTAAGTTTAAATATTAATAAATAAATAAGTGAAATTAATTATATGAACAATTAATATTAATTAATTATTATCTTTTATGTATATGTGGCTGCTAGCATACGAAATACAGGCGGGCGCAATACTGTAGACAGCGGAATTTCATTAAGTGCAAGCTGACTAGCAGGTGAGTTTTGCAAAATAAAAATTAGCAATTGTAAAAGTGATATTAATAAAGTTAATAATTAATATTAATTAATTATTATCTTTATATATAATCAGCTGCTACCATACAAAGTGCAGAGGGGCGCGAAAATGGAAATGTCAGAATTGCATTAGTTGCAAGCTGACTAGCAGGTAAGTGAATTTTACAGAGTTGAATAAAAACATTAAAAGATTATTAATGTTGATTTTCTCTTTGCAGAGCACATCGACTACGGCAAGGAGGCTTAGCCAAGTGGGCTGCACAGCCAATAGGGCGCGTATTTAAGTTAGTTTTAAGCAGGTTTAAAATGTGAATTTTAGGCGCAAGCGCCGTCACATATATTCGCTGCACATATATATTTATGTGCCGAAAATAAATTTTTGAATTGTCAATTAGTGTTAATACTTAACTTTGATCTCTATGCGATCTAAATAGAACCCTATAGGCAGCAAGTGGTGATGGTGGTGGTAGTGGCCGCGGCATTGGCGCAATGCCCTCGAAAACAGGTAGTCGTTGCGGCTGGTGGGCTGCTGCTTGGGCAGCTTCGTTGTGTTGCTGAGCCTCCCGTCGGCGAAGGAATCGTTCTCTGCTTTCAGCTACTTCGTCGGCTTCTCTTTGTAGTTGTCTCTGGGTGCGTAGAGCAATGTCATTGGCCAAATGCATGCTTACGAGACTCGTGTATCTTGCCAATGTTATCCGCTGTGGGATGAACGGGTCGTAGGCAATGTTTTTGGCCAAGTTGTTGGTATGGACCCGGAGTCGATCATAGTATTTGGCGCAGAGATTGTTGAATATATCATCCGCAGATGAAACTTCCAAATCAGCTCTGATGCGCGCGTTCGAAACAAAGTACTGAGCACCAGAAATGGCTCTCAGAGCTTTGTTGTGTACGACTCGAATGCGGCTGAATTGCGCCTCAGATAGCAGAGCGCCCCATACAGGCAGCGAGTATTGCCAAAGTGGAGCAACTAGCTGCTTGTAAATAATGACTTTTGTTCTGAGCGTCAATTTGCTATCTTTGTTAATGAGCCAATCTATCTTTTTAAGCCTAGCCCTGACCCTAGTAACGACCGTAGTGACATGTTGTGAGAATCGTAGTTTTGTGTCTAGAGTAACGCCCAAATACGAATGCGAGGTGCCATTCTCAATAGTTTCGTTGCCAATGCGAATCGCCTGATATGGCGCTATGACTCTAAGAGTATGCATGATATGCATAGTCTTGTTTGCATTAATTGTTTTTTTCTGTTTGTATGTCTAGGCAGAACACACAATAATGATCCCCATCCCTTCCTATCTCATTCATGATCAGCTGACCTGCAGCTGCATGACGAGGGGAAGAGGGTACGGAGATACTTTTTATTCAAACAATACTTTACAATAGCATTTCTTAAGAATATGAGTAGCGCCTATAAGATACTTAAAAATATACAATTTTCTGTTCGTATGTCTATAAAGAACACACATTAGTGATCTCCGCCTCTTCCCATTCTCGTACATGAACAGCTGACCTGCAGCTGCATGATGAGCGGAAGAGTACGGGGATACTCTTTATTTATTTAATACTTCACAATAGCATTTTTTTATAAATATAAATAGCGCCTATGAGATAATTAAAATCTAAAAAGGACTATATTTGTCGAAACTTTTCATTAAATGATTAAATTTAAATGGCCATAAGTGCACAAAAATAACAGTGCAGCTTAATGTTACAAAATACTAATAAAAAGAGCAAATTAAAGATAATTCAAAATAACAATAAAGTGCTTAAGTAGCTTACAATAGACTAATTAGATGAGTAAGATATAAGTTTAACAATAGTAATAGATGGCATTAATTAATATAATTCAATTTTTTTTTTTTATAAGCATCTACAAGATGCACCGAGAAAAATAGCCCAAAGTGGCCAATTGGAATAATAGAGAAAAGTCGAGACAAAGTCTGGTCATTTTCTCTAATACGGGCTTAAGCTAAAATTAGCTTAAATTACAAAAAGTAAATGATAATTAATATAGATAATTAAATAAAAATAGTTTAACAATTCATTTTGGCAGTTTTGATTTCATTAACATTCATTCGATATATCGCAAGTGCAATTGAGTACGTGACGATGCACCCCTGGCGTTGTGCCTATCGGGGTGCATAATCAAAAACAAAACAAAAAACAGCTGATTGAAAATTGCATTAAATGCAAATTTTATGCTGCTAATTGGTAAGTTTAAATATTAACAAGTAAATAATTGAAATTTATGGTATTAATAATTAATATTAATTAATTATTATCTTTTTATATGTATGTGGCTGCTGTCATACGGAATACAGACAGGCGCAACACTGAATATAGCAGGATTGCATTAATTGCAAGCTGAATAGCAGGTGAGTTTTGCAATATAAAAAATTAACAATTGAAAAAGTGATATTAATAAAGTTAACAATTAATATTAATTAATTATTATCTTTATATATAAACAGCTGCTACCATACAAAGTGCAGGGGGCGCAAAGCTGGAAAATAGCCGAACTTCATTAATTGCAAGTTGACTAGTAGGTTTTCTGTTCGTATGTCTATAAAGAACACACATTAGTGATCTCCGCCTCTTCCCATTCTCGTACATGAACAGCTGACCTGCAGCTGCATGATGAGCGGAAGAGTACGGGGATACTCTTTATTTATTTAATACTTCACAATAGCATTTTTTTATAAATATAAATAGCGCCTATGAGATAATTAAAAGCTAAAAAGGACTATATTTGTCGAAACTTTTCATTAAATGATTAAATTTAAATGGCCATAAGTGCACAAAAATAACAGTGCAGCTTAATGTTACAAAATACTAATAAAAAGAGCAAATTAAAGATAATTCAAAATAACAATAAAGTGCTTGAGTAGGTTACAATAGACTAATTAGATGAGTAAGATATAAGTTTAACAATAGTAATAGATGGCATTAATTAATATAATTCAATTTTTTCATTTATAAGCATCTACAAGATGCACCGAGAAAAATAGCCCCAAGTGGCCAATTGGAATAATAGAGAAAAGTCGAGACAAAGTCTGGTCATTTTCTCTAATACGGGCTTAAGCTAAAATTAGCTTAAATTACAAAAAGTAAATGATAATTAATATAGATAATTAAATAAAAATAGTTTAACAATTCATTTTGGCAGTTTTGATTTCATTAACATTCATTCGATATATCGCAAGTGCAATTGAGTAAGTGACGATGCACCCCCTGGCGTTGTGCCTATCGGGGTGCATAATCAAAACAAAAACAAAAACAGCTGATTGAAAATTGCATTAAATGCAAATTTTATGCTGCTAATTGGTAAGTTTAAATATTAACAAGTAAATAATTGAAATTTATGGTATTAATAATTAATATTAATTAATTATTATCTTTTTATATGTATGTGGCTGCTGTCATACGGAATACAGACAGGCGCAACACTGAATATAGCAGGATTGCATTAATTGCAAGCTGAATAGCAGGTGAGTTTTGCAATATAAAAAATTAACAATTGAAAAAGTGATATTAATAAAGTTAACAATTAATATTAATTAATTATTATCTTTATATATAAACAGCTGCTACCATACAAAGTGCAGGGGGGCGCAAAGCTGGAAATAGCCGAACTTCATTAATTGCAAGTTGACTAGCAGGTAAGTGAATTTTGCAGAAGTTAATAAAAACATTCAAAGATTATTAATGTTGATTTTTTCTTTGCAGAATACATGAAGTACAGCAAGGAGACTTAGTCATATGGGCTGCATAGCCAATAGGGCGCATAATTAAGTTAGATTTAAGTAGATTTAAATTTGAATTTTAGGCGCAAGCGCCGTCAGATATGTTCGCTGCACATATACATATATGTGCCGAAAATAAACTTTTGTATTGTAGCCGAGAGTTTAATTTGTGTTCAAGTAGTGTAAATACTTAACTCTGATCCCTATGTGATCTAAATAGGACCCTATAGGCAGCAAGTGGTGATGGTGGTGGTAGTGGCCGCGGCATTGGCGCAATACCCTCGAAGACAGGTAGACGTTGCGGCTGGTGGGCTGCTGCTTGTGCAGCTTCGTTGTGTTGCTGAGCCTCCCGTCGGCGAAGGAATCGTTCTCTGCTTTCAGCTACTTCGTCGGCTTCTCTTTGTAGTTGTCTCTGGGTGCGTAGAGCAATGTCATTGGCCAAATGCGTGTTTACGAGACTCGTGTATCTTGCCAATGTTATCCGCTGTGGGATGAACGGGTCGTAGGCAATGTTTTTGGCCAAGTTGTTGGTATGGACCCGGAGTCGATCATAGTATTTGGCGCAGAGATTGTTGAATATTTCATCCGCAGATAAAACTTCCAAATCAGCTCTGATGCGCGCGTTCGAAACATAGTACTGAGCACCAGAAATGGCTCTCAGTGCTTTGTTGTGTACGACTCGAATGCGGCTGAATTGCGCCTCGGATAGCAGAGCGCCCCATACAGGCAGCGAGTATTGCCAAAGTGGAGCAACTAGCTGCTTGTATATGATGACTTTAGTCCTTAGAGTCAATTTACTGTCTTTATTGATGAGCCAATCTATCTTTTTAAGCCTAGCCCTAACCCTAGTAACGACCGTAGTGACATGTTGTGAAAAGCGTAGTTTTGTGTCTAGAGTAACGCCCAAATACGAATGTGAGGTGCCATTCTCAATAGTTTCGTTGCCAATGCGAATCGCCTGATATGGCGCTATAACTCTAAGAGTATGCATGATATGCATAGTCTTGTTTGCATTAATTGTAATGCACCACTTGCTCGCCCATTCAGCCAATCTATCCATGTAAGCTTGCTGCTGATTAAGCGCATCTGCTTGACGAAAGTCTGCCGAAAGAACAATGACGTCATCAGCATAAGTAGCAATAAGAATCCCACGCAGACAGGTTGGCCTTGGTATATCGCTGGTGTATATATTGTACAAGATTGGCCCGAGCAAGCTACCTTGTGGCACACCAGCGTGAATCTGTTTGATACCTGAGCGACAGCCACCGTGACACTCAACAATGAAAGTGCGATCTGCTAGATAGCAGCAGAGGATGCGATAGAGAGCATCTGGCAGTAGCCTCTTAAGCTTATACTTCAAGCCTGTATGCCACACTCGATCAAAGGCTTCCTTGATATCCATATAGACAGCAGAGCAGTATTTGTGGTCATCAAACGCTTTAATAATGTACTGGGTGACTCGACCCAATTGCTGCTCAGCTGAATGCGCCTTGCGGAATCCAAATTGATGATTTGGAATCGCATTTACAAGAGTATCTTGCTCCAGCATACGGCTCAGTATCAAGTACTCGAGTATCTTTGAGAGGCCAGACAGCAGACTTATTGGCCTGTATGATGCAACATGGTGTGTGGGCTTGCCAGGCTTATGCACCATCTTCACCACTGCTAACTTCCAGCTCGAGGGGAAATGACTCAATCTAAGAGAGTTATTGCATATCATAACAAGATACAAAACAGCCTTCAATGGCAGCGCTTTGATGGTGTGATTATCGATTTGGTCCAAACCAGCCGCTTTTTTGTTCTCTAGCGTGCTGATGTGACTGATGACTTCAGCCGCAGTGACTGGCCGAAATGAGACTGAAGCAGTCAAAGATGGCTGGCTAACTTGAGCCTCAATTTCAGCCAGATCACTGGGCGGCGTAGTCACGATTGGCTGAAAACGCTGTTCAAGACTCGCAGCAAATGTTTCGGCCTTCTCGGCAGTAGTCTTGCACCAGACGTTTTGCGCATTGGAGCCATTGTCACTAGAGGACTTCAACAGCGGTAGATTTGGAGCAGGCTGTCGCTTGATTTCGTTGGTCAGGCGCCAGAGTTTTTGCATACTATATCTATCGGTTGGATCGATAGATCTGAATAGCTCTTCCTCATACTTCTGCCTAGCATATATGAGCTCTTTGCGTATGCGATTCGATAGCCTGTTGCAGAGCATCTTAAGCATCGGATTGCGACTTCGAGTCAGATAGCGCTTGACTTGCTTATGGGCCTCGATGAGTTGCAGAGTCTGTCTATTTACGCGATATCTAGTCCTCATAATCTTGCGTGGGTGCTGTGCATTCGCATAGTTTGCAGCATCTTCAATATTTTTGACAAAAATATTGACCGCATCATCAACATCATCAGCACTGTTGATCTCAGTGTTGAGCAAGATTTTTTCATTTAGATAGCTCTGAAATTTGTCTATGTTAGCGTTCAGATCAAGTAGATGGCCTTTTGCTCTGCTGGTGACAGGCTTCTCAACCAGCTGGACTTGCAACGGGAGATGATCAGAGCTAAGCTCGAAAGAGTCAGTGATGGCAAGCAAATCTCGCCTGATACCTTTAAATAGCGCAAAGTCAATGGCAGACGGAGTTTGGCGTGAATTGAACGGAAAATGGGTGGGCGACCCAGTTGCCAGAATGTTGCAATTCACTTGTAGAATACTATTGACTAGCGTTCGGCCACGGAGACAAGATCTGGCGTTGCCCCACCACTGACTTTTCGCATTCCAGTCACCACCGACTATAAAAGTGTCACCCAGAGAAGATAGCAGGTTGTTGAAATCTTGCCCAGACCAGATAACTTGCGGCGGGCAGTAGATTGAGACAATATTAATGTGACGGCCATTTTGCAGGCTGACTGAAACTTCGACAGATTGATGCGAGTCGTTAGATGTAAAGCGCATAGCATAATGGCATATATGTTGTTTAATTATAAAGGCTGCACCTCCTCTGCGCCTGTTTGAGGGGTGATTTGCTAAGTAAACAATATAACCATTAATAGCGATGCTATCGCTATCAGTCAGATGCGTCTCAGACACTAGCATTATATCTATATCGTGCTTGACGAGATACAGATTGAGCTCATTAAGCTTTTTCTTGACACCTGCAGCATTCCAAAAAGATATGTTCATGTTGTTGACACGTTGAGATACAGCAGGCTGCAGTGCAGCGCTGCGTCTACTGGCATTTGGAGAAGTGGATACATTGCTAGACATTTAAGCGCTCATTGGGACCAAATTGGGCCAACAGGCAGGCCGTGAGGGTGGTCATCATCTCAATGAGTTTGTCTATTTTAGCCTCTAATCTAAAGCTAACTTGCACTGGCATACTTGGCACACTCGCATTTATTGGCTGCTCGAAACGTTGAAAATGAACACCCCCACTAACTGGATGCGCACCCCCATCTATTGGTTGCGGATGTCTACGGCGCGTACTCAGACTACGGCTACGTTTTGGCTGCGGCGGCCGCTGTGCGCTTGCCTGTCTTGGCAAGCGGACTTGTTGCTGCTGCTGTTGTTGTTGTTGCTGTTGCAGAAGTTGTTGTTGTTGGCTACGTTTGGTGGCTTTTTGCCTCGACTGACGCTGTTTGCTGCTAATAGCTGCCGGTCCGACAGGCTGAGCAAATTGAAGGCCAGCCCGAAGAGCAGCCGAATAACTGGGCCCTGCACTAACAGTTTGCGGTCGTGACTGAGGGGGGGCTTGCTGTAAAAGATTTGGCATATTAGACATGTTTGGCATATTTGCTCGACTGCTCTGAGCAGCAGTAGTGGCAGCTGGCTTGGCTAAGTTGCTAATGACTTTAGCTAGTTGCGTGGCACTTTCATTTTCGCGCTTCTTGCACGCTTCTTTATAAGAAGGGCAGCCTTTGTAGCTCGCGGCATGTGGGCCGGAGCAATTGGCACACTTCGCTGGAGTTTGGTCGCCTTTTTGCTTGCCACAGTCCGTGGAAGCATGATTGGCGCCGCACTTGACGCAGGCGAAGGGGCGACGGCAATAATTTTTTGTGTGCCCAAATTTCTGGCACCTATGGCATTGGGCAATTTCGCTTGATTTGTACGGCCGCTCAATTTTTACACGCTGATTGCCAATGGCAGTTATTTGCAGCAATTCTGCGTTGTTTGCGCTGACGGCCAACTCAACCTCAAAGAGGTCAAGCGGCTCTTTAGAGAAGCGTGATTTAATGCCTCTTAAGAAGCGAACTTCGTGCCCTAATTTGGCCAACTGCTCACGAATATAGTGATCCGGAGTGGAGAAGTGCAAATGCCGGATAACGGCTCTATAGCCGCGTTCGCATTTCAACTGGTATGTGTGATTTTCAATCGAATTAACGTCGAGGTACTTTACCAATTTGCGGTGCGTAGCGATGTCCTTGCACTGCACTCTGATGCCATGGTTTGCAGCGGGCTTGGTGGTGTAGTTCTCCTGGCCGATAGCATCATCCAGGCGGATTAAAAGCGGCATTATGTCCGTGACATTTGCTAAAAACAGCGGAGCGGGCTTCGCGTTGAGTTGCGCATGGCTTGCTCCAGTTGCGGCGGCAGCGGAAGCAGCAGTAACAGCTGCAGCGGCAGCATTGGGCGGCATAGCTTGCACATTTGCAGCAGTGCGAGCTTTATTAACGAGGCCAGTTGCCTCTTGCTGTGTGTCCTCAGTCCTGGGAGTCCGCGCAGAGTCGTCAAGTTGCAGGCAGTCCTCATCGCTGCCATCCAGATCAACTGCGTCCAGCTGCGCAGTCTTCTTCTTTGGGCTGTCGCCTTTTTCTGCAGTCCTCTTTGCTGCTCTTTCATTTGCAAGTGGCTTCGCGCCACTTTTAATCGCGTCTTTCGCTTTAAAATAGTCAGCGACCAAAGATTGCGCTGAAGTTGAAGCTTTCGATTTTAGTAACTGAGCCGCAGCTCGAGAAGTTGATGGTTGTGCCATAACCACATTTTTCTTCACCAGCACTTTCGATGGCGTGGGCGCAGGCGCTAATGGCTGCGAGTCGATTAATAATTCGACTTCCACGTCCATATCCTCTTCACCGTCATCTGCAGTATAGCCCCTAGGCATTGCAGCAATTTAATTTGCAAAATTTAATTGCAAAAACACCGATTTAAATAGATTTAAATTATTTTTTCTGTTTGTATGTCTTTTCTGTTCGTATGTCTACAAAGAACACACATTAGTGATCTCCGCCTCTTCCCATTCTCGTACATGAACAGCTGACCTGCAGCTGCATGATGAGGGGAAGAGTACGGGGATACTCTTTATTTATTTAATACTTCACAATAGCATTTTTTTTATAAATATAAATAGCGCCTATGATATAATTAAAATCTAAAAAGGACTATATTTGTCGAAACTTTTCATTAAATGATTAAATTTAAATGGCCATAAGTGCACAAAAATAACAGTGCAGCTTAATGTTACAAAATACTAATAAAAAGAGCAAATTAAAGATAATTCAAAATAACAATAAAGTGCTTGAGTAGGTTACAATAGACTAATTAGATGAGTAAGATATAAGTTTAACAATAGTAATAGATGGCATTAATTAATATAATTCAATTTTTTTTCATTTATAAGCATCTACAAGATGCACCGAGAAAAATAGCCCCAAGTGGCCAATTGGAATAATAGAGAAAAGTCGAGACAAAGTCTGGTCATTTTCTCCAATACGGGCTTAAGCTAAAATTAGCTTAAATTACAAAAAGTTAAATGATAATTAATATAGATAATTAAATAAAAATAGTTTAACAATTCATTTTGGCAGTTTTGATTTCATTAACATTCATTCGATATATCGCAAGTGCAATTGAGTAAGTGACGATGCACCCCTGGCGTTGTGCCTATCGGGGTGCATAATCAAAACAAAACAAAAAAAAAGCTGATTGAAAATTGCATTAAATGCAAATTTTATGCTGCTAATTGGTAAGTTTAAATATTAACAAGTAAATAATTGAAATTTATGGTATTAATAATTAATATTAATTAATTATTATCTTTTATATATGTATGTGGCTGCTGTCATACGGAATACAGACAGGCGCAACACTGAATATAGCAGGATTGCATTAATTGCAAGCTGAATAGCAGGTGAGTTTTGCAATATAAAAAATTAACAATTGAAAAAGTGATATTAATAAAGTTAACAATTAATATTAATTAATTATTATCTTTATATATAAACAGCTGCTACCATACAAAGTGCAGGGGGCGCAAAGCTGGAAATAGCCGAACTTCATTAATTGCAAGTTGACTAGCAGGTAAGTGAATTTTGCAGAAGTTAATAAAAACATTCAAAGATTATTAATGTTGATTTTTTCTTTGCAGAATACATGAAGTACAGCAAGGAGACTTAGTCATATGGGCTGCATAGCCAATAGGGCGCATAATTAAGTTAGATTTAAGTAGATTTAAATTTGAATTTTAGGCGCAAGCGCCGTCAGATATGTTCGCTGCACATATACATATATGTGTGCCGAAAATAAACTTTTGTATTGTAGCCGAGAGTTTAATTTGTGTTCAAGTAGTGTAAATACTTAACTCTGATCCCTATGTGATCTAAATAGGACCCTATAGGCAGCAAGTGGTGATGGTGGTGGTAGTGGCCGCGGCATTGGCGCAATACCCTCGAAGACAGGTAGACGTTGCGGCTGGTGGGCTGCTGCTTGTGCAGCTTCGTTGTGTTGCTGAGCCTCCCGTCGGCGAAGGAATCGTTCTCTGCTTTCAGCTACTTCGTCGGCTTCTCTTTGTAGTTGTCTCTGGGTGCGTAGAGCAATGTCATTGGCCAAATGCGTGTTTACGAGACTCGTGTATCTTGCCAATGTTATCCGCTGTGGGATGAACGGGTCGTAGGCAATGTTTTTGGCCAAGTTGTTGGTATGGACCCGGAGTCGATCATAGTATTTGGCGCAGAGATTGTTGAATATTTCATCCGCAGATAAAACTTCCAAATCAGCTCTGATGCGCGTGTTCGAAACATAGTACTGAGCACCAGAAATGGCTCTCAGTGCTTTGTTGTGTACGACTCGAATGCGGCTGAATTGCGCCTCGGATAGCAGAGCGCCCCATACAGGCAGCGAGTATTGCCAAAGTGGAGCAACTAGCTGCTTGTATATGATGACTTTAGTCCTTAGAGTCAATTTACTGTCTTTATTGATGAGCCAATCTATCTTTTTAAGCCTAGCCCTAACCCTAGTAACGACCGTAGTGACATGTTGTGAAAAGCGTAGTTTTGTGTCTAGAGTAACGCCCAAATACGAATGTGAGGTGCCATTCTCAATAGTTTCGTTGCCAATGCGAATCGCCTGATATGGCGCTATAACTCTAAGAGTATGCATGATATGCATAGTCTTGTTTGCATTAATTGTAATGCACCACTTGCTCGCCCATTCAGCCAATCTATCCATGTAAGCTTGCTGCTGATTAAGCGCATCTGCTTGACGAAAGTCTGCCGAAAGAACAATGACGTCATCAGCATAAGTAGCAATAAGAATCCCACGCAGACAGGTTGGCCTTGGTATATCGCTGGTGTATATATTGTACAAGATTGGCCCGAGCAAGCTACCTTGTGGCACACCAGCGTGAATCTGTTTGATACCTGAGCGACAGCCACCGTGACACTCAACAATGAAAGTGCGATCTGCTAGATAGCAGCAGAGGATGCGATAGAGAGCATCTGGCAGTAGCCTCTTAAGCTTATACTTCAAGCCTGTATGCCACACTCGATCAAAGGCTTCCTTGATATCCATATAGACAGCAGAGCAGTATTTGTGGTCATCAAACGCTTTAATAATGTACTGGGTGACTCGACCCAATTGCTGCTCAGCTGAATGCGCCTTGCGGAATCCAAATTGATGATTTGGAATCGCATTTACAAGAGTATCTTGCTCCAGCATACGGCTCAGTATCAAGTACTCGAGTATCTTTGAGAGGCCAGACAGCAGACTTATTGGCCTGTATGATGCAACATGGTGTGTGGGCTTGCCAGGCTTATGCACCATCTTCACCACTGCTAACTTCCAGCTCGAGGGGAAATGACTCAATCTAAGAGAGTTATTGCATATCATAACAAGATACAAAACAGCCTTCAATGGCAGCGCTTTGATGGTGTGATTATCGATTTGGTCCAAACCAGCCGCTTTTTTGTTCTCTAGCGTGCTGATGTGACTGATGACTTCAGCCGCAGTGACTGGCCGAAATGAGACTGAAGCAGTCAAAGATGGCTGGCTAACTTGAGCCTCAATTTCAGCCAGATCACTGGGCGGCGTAGTCACGATTGGCTGAAAACGCTGTTCAAGACTCGCAGCAAATGTTTCGGCCTTCTCGGCAGTAGTCTTGCACCAGACGTTTTGCGCATTGGAGCCATTGTCACTAGAGGACTTCAACAGCGGTAGATTTGGAGCAGGCTGTCGCTTGATTTCGTTGGTCAGGCGCCAGAGTTTTTGCATACTATATCTATCGGTTGGATCGATAGATCTGAATAGCTCTTCCTCATACTTCTGCCTAGCATATATGAGCTCTTTGCGTATGCGATTCGATAGCCTGTTGCAGAGCATCTTAAGCATCGGGTTGCGACTTCGAGTCAGATAGCGCTTGACTTGCTTATGGGCCTCGATGAGTTGCAGAGTCTGTCTATTTACGCGAAATCTAGTCCTCATAATCTTGCGTGGGTGCTGTGCATTCGCATAGTTTGCAGCATCTTCAATGTTTTTGACAAAAATATTGACCGCATCATCAACATCATCAGCACTGTTGATCTCAGTGTTGAGCAAGATTTTGTCATTTAGATAGCTCTGAAATTTGTCTGATGTTAGCGTTCAGATCAAGTAGATGGCCTTTTGCTCTGCTGGTGACAGGCTTCTCAACCAGCTGGACTTGCAACGGGAGATGATCAGAGCTAAGCTCGAAAGAGTCAGTGATGGCAAGCAAATCTCGCCTGATGCCTTTAAATAGCGCAAAGTCAATGGCAGACGGAGTTTGGCGTGAATTGAACGGAAAATGGGTGGGCGACCCAGTTGCCAGAATGTTGCAATTCACTTGTAGAATACTATTGACTAGCGTTCGGCCACGGAGACAAGATCTGGCGTTGCCCCACCACTGACTTTTCGCATTCCAGTCACCACCGACTATAAAAGTGTCACCCAGAGAAGATAGCAGGTTGTTGAAATCTTGCCCAGACCAGATAACTTGCGGCGGGCAGTAGATTGAGACAATATTAATGTGACGGCCATTTTGCAGGCTGACTGAAACTTCGACAGATTGATGCGAGTCGTTAGATGTAAAGCGCATAGCATAATGGCATATATGTTGTTTAATTATAAAGGCTGCACCTCCTCTGCGCCTGTTTGAGGGGTGATTTGCTAAATAAACAATATAGCCATTAATAGCAATGCTATCGCTATCAGTCAGATGCGTCTCAGACACTAGCATTATATCTATATCGTGCTTGACGAGATACAGATTGAGCTCATTAAGCTTTTTCTTGACACCTGCAGCATTCCAAAAGATATGTTCATGTTGTTGACACGTTGAGATACAGCAGGCTGCAGTGCAGCGCTGCGTCTACTGGCATTTGGAGAAGTGGATACATTGCTAGACATTTAAGCGCTCATTGGGACCAAATTGGGCCAACAGGCAGGCCGTGAGGGTGGTCATCATCTCAATGAGTTTGTCTATTTTAGCCTCTAATCTAAAGCTAACTTGCACTGGCATACTTGGCACATTCGCATTTATTGGCTGCTCGAAACGTTGAAAATGAACACCCCCACTAACTGGATGCGCACCCCCATCTATTGGTTGCGGATGCCTACGGCGCGTACTCAGACTACGGCTACGTTTTGGCTGCGGCGGCCGCTGTGCGCTTGCCTGTCTTGGCAAGCGGACTTGTTGCTGCTGCTGTTGTTGTTGTTGCTGTTGCAGATTGTTGTTGCTGGCTAACGTTTGGTGGCTTTTTGCCTCGACTGACGCTGTTTGCTGCTAATAGCTGCCGGTCCGACAGGCTGAGCAAATTGAAGGCCCGCCCGAAGAGCAGCCGAATAACTGGGCCCCTGCACTAACAGTTTGCGGTCGTGACTGAGGGGGGCTTGCTGTAAAAGATTTGGCATATTAGACATGTTTGGCATATTTGCTCGACTGCTCTGAGCAGTTGCAGTGGCAGCTGGCTTAGCTAGAGTTGCTAATGACTTTTGCTAGTTGCGTGGCACTTTCATTTTCGCGCTTCTTGCACGCTTCTTTATAAGAAGGGCAGCCTTTGTAGCTCGCGGCATGTGGGCCGGAGCAATTGGCACACTTCGCTGGAGTTTGGTCGCCTTTTTGCTTGCCACAGTCCGTGGAAGCATGATTGGCGCCGCACTTGACGCAGGCGAAGGGGCGACGGCAATAATTTTTTGTGTGCCCGAATTTCTGGCACCTATGGCATTGAGCAATTTCGCTTGTTTTATACGGCCGCTCAATTTTGACACGCTGATTGCCAATGGCAGTAATTTGCAGCAATTCTGCGTTGTTTGCGCTGACGGCCAACTCAACCTCAAAGAGATCAAGAGGCTCTTTTGAAAAGCGTGATTTAATGCCTCTTAAGAAGCGGACTTCGTGCCCTAATTTGGCCAACTGCTCACGAATATAGTGATCCGGAGTGGAGAAGTGCAAATGCCGAATAACGGCTCTATAGCCGCGTTCGCATTTCAACTGGTATGTGTAATTTTCAATTGAATTAACGTCGAGGTACTTTACCAATTTGCGGTGCGTAGCGATGTCCTTGCACTGCACTCTGATGCCATGGTTTGCAGCGGGCTTGGTGGTGTAGTTGTCCTGGCCAATAGCATCATCCAGGCGGATTAAAAGCGGCATTATGTCCGTGACATTGGCGAAAAACAGCGGCGCGGGCTTCGCGTTGAGTTGCGCATGGCTTGCTCCAGTTGCGGCGGCAGCGGCAGCAGCAGTAACAGCGGCAGCAGTAGTAACAGCTGCAGCGGCAGCATTGGGCGGCATAGCTTGCACATTTGCAGCAGTGCAAACTTTATTAACGAGGCCAGTTGCCTCTTGCTGTGTGTCCTCAGTCCTGGGAGTCCGCGCAGAGTCGTCAAGTTGCAGGCAGTCCTCATCGCTGCCATCCAGATCAACTGCGTCCAGCTGCGCAGTCTTCTTCTTTGGGCTGTCGCCTTTTTCTGCAGTCCTCTTTGCTGCTCTTTCATTTGCAAGTGGCTTCGCGCCACTTTTAATCGCGTCTTTCGCTTTAAAATAGTCAGCGACCAAAGATTGCGCTGAAGTTGAAGCTTTCGATTTTAGTAACTGAGCCGCAGCTCGAGAAGTTGATGGTTGTGCCATAACCACATTTTTCTTCACCAGCACTTTCGATGGCGTGGGCGCAGGCGCTAATGGCTGCGAGTCGATTAATAATTCGACTTCCACGTCCATATCCTCTTCACCGTCATCTGCAGTATAGCCCCTAGGCATTGCAGCAATTTAATTT